ACGGCCATGAAATTTATTTCGCTAGATCGATAGCTGCCACGAGTCTGCATTCAATATGTGCAAACTCACCCACGTATATTGTTACTAGTTGATATGCTTTTTCTCTGTACGATAGAACTTTAACAATAAACTATTCATCCTAATTCGAATTCGAATTCTGATAAAAAACTTTTTTCCAAACTTTTTACTTTAAACTACTCCTCTCAATTAGAATTCGACACGTTCCAGAATCCCAATTCGAATTCGAATTCTGATCAAAAAATTTCTTTTCAAACTTTTATAGTAAACCATTTATCCTAATTCGAATTCGACACCTTGTACACGTCATCCATCACAGCATGTTCAAGTATCTATGTATCTGTACGCGCCACCTGTCACATTTCAGTCTGTTTATCTATTGGGCAAATACTGGCCAACAATAGTAGCTGATTGGACGGACTGAGTGAAGGGCATTTTATCGTTTTAAGACTCTCCCCTCCGGTGGAGAGAATTAAAGAGTAGTTTGGCATCTCCTGCAGCAGTTATATGATTTATGTGTTCGCGGAACACTTTCTCGTTTGCATGATGTTTTTTTCATGAAATTTGTCTCGCATTAGAATTACAAAACGTTTACACTAGATCTACAATATTTCTTTGTGTGAATACGCTATAATACCGCAGTATCTTCTGCTACGCTTGTCAGCACTTCGATCTTGGTTAGTAAACCAAAAAGCATATATGGGTAAAGTAGTTCATGTATTGAATGATACACAAAAAGAGCATTTGATCGAAAAAATAGAACAACATTATAGTTTAGCTGTTAAAGTTCTATCGTACAGAGAAAAAGCATATCAACTAGTAACAATATACGTGGGTGAGTTTGCACGTATTGAATGCAGACTCGTGGCAGCTATCGATCTAGCGAAATAAATTTCATGGCCGTAAGCCAGCGATTAACAAAGTGTTAGATGAAGGGATGTTTTTCACCGTTCATTCTGCAGAATGAATGGACAAAAAAGATTTGATTGTTAAGAAATTGAAACGATCATCAGTTGACTACAAATTTTTACACTATCTCAAAGTACATTATCATCGTAAGATAACACGATTAGAAATATCGCACACTGTTCCATTGTCGTATTTGTACGAAGATGAGAACAATAATGAATTATGGATGTTCTTCCTAAAATACTCAGAATTCAACAGATTATTTGGAGAAAAACAGGGAGGGAGGAGTAACAGTTGATAAAACACTAAGTATTGCATTAGACGTAACCGACGCTTTACAAGGATTACATGCAAATGAAATTGTACATCGAGATACTAAAGCTATAAATGTGTTGTTAGATGAAAAAGAAGAATGCTATTTAGCTGATTTTGGTACGTGTCAAAGGAATATAATGTACACTAGATCTACGATATTTTTTCTGTGAATACGCTATAATATCGCAAGTATCTTCTGCTTTTATAATACGATGTTAGAATTGAATGAATATTTTCATACATCAAACATCACTCGGTAGCCAATTGAAATTCGGTGTCAAATGAACTTGTTGTGACTGAGCTTGGATTAACAGTAATATGTCATGTAGAGAATTTTACTTCCACATTTTATCACGCAATCATAAAAATAGTCGTGGTGATGAGAAATTCTCTGAAGTAAAAAACATAGGCTACTCATGGTTAGTATTGCAGCAGCTTAGATAGTATGGGATAGGTTGTAAGGAAATGTATCTTTTATCAGTTCTCATGGTTTGTTTATATAATGGTAGGCAGATCATGTAAATTAGAGAACCACCACATAGCTCTATTAATACCATCAGCTATACTATTAACATCATCATAACGAACAATAATTAAACTGAAAAGAGCCATCTGTGTATCGCTTATGAGTTGCGAAATGCGGGTTCCCGTGTACTGATTTTCGGTATTTATCAAACGGCTAACACGAGTAAACATCATCTTTCCGTTAGCTACATCAATCACATTTTGTTGTTCATCAATTAAACTCATATTGTAGTCAAACATATGTTCGGAATATAGCCTCTGAAAGTTACTACAAACTTGCCGTGATAGTTTTACTAACTGTATAGCTTCACAACGAATTTGACGGTTGTGTATAAGAGCATCACTTGCGTTAGCAACAAATGGATAAGCAAGTAAATCTGGATATAGTCTGACCGTTTCTAATATACCTGTACTGAGGCTATTCAAGTTATTGTCGTCGGTATTAACTAAAACATTTTGTGCAGTATTCAAATCTTTCCATTTTGTTGACATAACTGTTGTATAATTCGCAGGTGGAGACCATGCACAGCATGTGTTATTAATACTTGTATAATTCATATCCAGAATAGGACCGTACATAAGCACCCATTGACAAGTAGCAGTCGGTTCACACGGTGCATCTGAAGACGGTGCATTTGATCTTAAATCTTCAAGCGCTGAACGTGCCATTTCAAGTATTATTGTTGCTTCTTTTTTAACTTTCCGATTAAATATCAAAGCTTGTTCATGAGTTGACATTGCATGAGAGGCGTGTATTAAACAGTCTGAATTGGGTACAAATGAAACGATCATTGACGGCATTAACAAAAGTAAAAGACTAAGGGATTTATGCATATCTTCAATAATTGTTAGAGGAAGGTAAACAAAAAACGTTCCCTACTACAGTTTTCTGATTGATATGTCAGCGTTCTTGACCTTTCGATTGCAATATATATTTCACTATTTTTTATACTCATGTTGTGATACAGACCTTATATATTTACCTTCTTGCTCTTTCTTCTCTTGCTGTTTGATCATAACTGCGTGAAAATAATAAATATAATAAACGGTTACTGAAGTATGAGTATGGTTTTATAGAATTTATTTATCAAATTAGTAAATAAGAAAATAGTTAGTAGTCCTTTTATTCTTGTGAAATAAAATGTAAAAAACACTTTTTTGTGCTTCCAGAAGTAGTACTGTAACACAAACTGTTACGACTTTATTTACTAAATAATACTTTTACAATTACCTTTTCTACATATATATTTTTTTACATACGAAGAAACTTTACACGCATCACAAACAAAATTAAATTGCAGAGTAAAGCGTAAATTTTTGAACAGAAAGACTTTTTCTATATATTCGCAGAATTTTAAAAATGCGAAAAATATATATATCGTACGCTTGGTAACTCATAGATCTAAAATTCCATTCCTGACTTTCCTCGATTGTTATATGCACAACTAAATGCGCTGACATCAGAAACATTTCACTTGAAACCGATCTACAGTTACATAATAAAACATCTATCGCTTGACAGAATGAATGATGTCATATTGACGGGAAGTCGACGCATTGTGACAGTAGTATCTCATGTTCTATATCCTTATCCAATAGATAAACAGAGTGAAGAGTGATAGATGGCTCGTACAGATGCATGGATATTTCAACACGCTGTGACGGATGACGTGTACAAACGTGTACAAGGTGTCGAATTTGAATTAGGATGAATGGTTTACTGTAAAAGTTTGGAAAAACATTTTTAATCAGAGTTCGAATTCGAATTGGGATTCTACGGACTATGGAATTCGAATTAGGATGAGTACTTTATTCTGAAATCAAGTGGAAAAATGGGCGTGAGTCCGCAAGTTGCTGGGGGAAAAATCAAGCGTTTTCACGCGGGAAGTGACTTTTACAGTAAACCATTCATCCTTATTCGAATTCGACACCTTGTACACGTTTGTACATCTCATCCGCCACAGCCTGTTGAAATATCTATGTATCTGTTCGCGGCATCTATCACCCTTCAGTGGTGTTATAACCTATTCACAGAAGAAATACCATAGCTCTAGTGGAAACGTTTTGTAATTCTAATGCGAGACAACTTTCATGAAAAAAACATCAGACAAACGAGAAAGTGTTCCTCCGAACACATAAATCATGTAACTGCGGCAGAAGATGCCAAGCTACTCTTTAGTTCTCTCCACCGGAGGGGAGAGTCTTAGAACCTTAAAATGCCCGTCAGTCAGTCCGTCCAATCAGCTACTATTGTTGGCCAGTATTTGCCCAATAGATAAGCAGAGTGAAGGGTGATAGATAGCGCGTACAGATGCATAGATATTTCAACACGCTGTAACGGATGACGTGTACAAATGTGTACAAGATGTCGAATTCGAATTAGGATGAATAGTTTACTGTAAAAGTTTGGAAAATTTGGTTTTTTATGGGACTTCAATTTCGAATTGTGATTCTGGAACGTGTCAAATTCGAATTGGGATGAGTACTTTATTGTTAAATCACGTCGAAAAAAATGGGCGTGATTCCGCAAGTTGTTGGCGTAAAAAGAATTTTTGTGCAGAATTCTGTGGGATCATTTTCTGCAGAAAAGGATTTTCACTGTTGTCTCGGTTTTCATCTCATCTGTCATTATCCCGCTATCCACTTTCCTCATCCTATATATCGTAGTCAGCCTCACTCTACTTAATTTTTCTGCACAGTATTATGCGCGGGATGCTTACCTTTTGCGCAGAGTTGACGAGTAATCCTGAATTTTTGTTTTTAGTCCGTGGTTCTTTTATGCGAGAAAATCAAAATTCCTGCGGAACAAAAGGAATATTTTATTCATACTGAGCAATGCCTCAAGAATAACGAATAAAAGTGTCCGATTTCATCTGGGCCACCCGATAGGTGTTTGTACTTTATTTAAAATCAGATCTACTCTATCTCTGTTTCTGTGAAGGCCAACGAGTAACAGGTTTCTTGCCCATTGTCTAATTTTTGATAACTAAGTTTTCTACGTAGAAAGGTAGAAAATTTTCTGCTCTATCGACCTTACTCATTCAAGAGAAAAAATTCAAGAATACATTTTTCCTGGATTTCACCAAGCCAAGAGATCACCGGCAACAGGAAGTACGTTAAAACATAGAGTGTAACAATAATCTTGCGATATTTTGTATCTTCATTCTACCCCAAAATGTCCAACAAATGGACGATTGTAACGAACAAAGAGTATATCGTCCAAATTTATCGTCGAACATGGAATGATTGATAAATCAAATAATAATCGTCGCTTACCCCTATATACCATCATTAATGATGAACGATGTACTCGTTGTTCGTCATGATCATCCATTGGCTGAACATTTTGGGGTAGAACGCGTGCGAGCGCGCACTTATTTTCTTCGCTTGAACGACGAGCGCTCGATTCGTCCCACACCTAACTGCACTAGTAATTATAAGGAAACTAGCGGAAGTACCCGATGTCGGGCTAGATAATTCGTCAATTCGAATCCGTGTCTGCTCTGGACTCTCGGCGTCTCCTGAAGCCGCTTGTCTTGCATGGAGACTACCAAGCCGAGTTTGTCTCTGTTCCGAACTCTCGGCGTCTCTTGAGGAAGCTTGTCTTGCACGTTGGCCGCCAAGCCGAGTTTGTCTCTGCTCTGGACTCTCAGCTGCTCGAGAAGCACCTTGTCTTGCACGTTGATCGTCAATTCGAGTCCGTGTCTGTTCTGGACTCTCGGCGTCTCCTGAAGCCGCTTGTCTTGAACGTTGATCATCAAGCCGAGTTTGTCTGCGCTCTAAACTCTCAGCATTTCTTGAGGCTGCCATTCTATTCGCAGCTGACGTACTTCTGCCCAGCAAAGTTCTTCGTTTTGGTGGCATTTTTACTATTTCTAATGCAAGTAAGACAGATTAGAAATACTTGTCAAGAAAAGTGTGTTTTTAACAAAATTACCTTAGAAATTTGCTCTTGAAGTCTAATCAAAAAGATCGTAGTAGTCTGTGAATCTTGTGATGTGTATGTTGAATGTCAAACAGTTGATTGTGCTTGAGTAAGTTTATTAGTAGAATGGAGAGAAGATGAGAAACACTATAGCGAATATAGTTCTGATACAGAAAACAATACAGAAACACGCCTATATATATATGTATAAAATACATTGGA